GTAACAATTATAATTGATTATTCGAAAGCTGCATTTGTTTAATCTGAACAAAAAAAAAATGATTTTCAACTAAATTTTGTAGAAATGAAAAGTGCAACCATGTACTAAATATAAACATTGCAGTAAACCTATGACATTGGTGTATTGCTAAACCAGAGATTATTAATTTTGGTGTATCTGTTACAGCTAACAGCTTTTATCAAGTTAATACTCTGACCTCCCATTAAGTAATCTAACCTGACATGACCGTTATACTGTTTTGAAATTGTTAGCGTAAACATTCCTTACAAACACGTTCAACTTATTAACCTATTAATTTCAAATTGATAAGAAGGTTATAAACACAGTCAGAGATATCATAAAAGAATCAAGAAACATTTCCAAGTTTGCATTTGTCTTCAACGATAGACGCATACCTCGTATACACATTTTGAAATCTAATTAGAATCTATCAAGAAACGGAGTTAATTTCTCATAACGTTCAATTTCGTTATTATGAATTTTTTTCATTAAAAATATGTGCAATTCGTTATAAAATTAAATTTTTAGTAAATGAATTTCAAAGTGTTGAGTCAATTGTTATATTCGAAAATACGGTTATATTAAATCAACAATCACTAGAAAACACGAACTAAAGTCTTTAAGAATTAATATAAACTCGTCATTTTTTGTACTCCCGTTTACTGGACGTATTATTGTAAACCGTTGTCCGTCCGTCTGTGTGTCCGTCTGTCTACCGTCAACACTTCGGACAATAGCTCAAACATGCTTTCAACAATTTTCATGAAACTTTGGTGAATTGTTTTGAATATCTAATGACATAAGCTCCCTTTCGATTGCTGTGCATTTGAGATTTTAAGTTTCCGAGTGATGGGATTTTATTCATAAATGAATGGGGCATTTTGTAGTTTTCTGACTAATACTCAAAAATGCTTTATGCAATTTTCATAAAACTTTGGTGAAATGTTTATATATATTGACATAAGTTCCACTTTGATTTTTAAACATTTCAATTTTGAGTTTTGAAGTTTTTGGTCTATTCCTAAAAAAGGGGGGTTTCCAGTTCTCGGACAATCACTTAAAAACTCTTTGAGAAGTTTCATGAATTTTTGGTGACTTGTTTATATCTATTCAAATACGCTCCCTTTTTTCTTATAAATTTCTGATATCACATTGCTGAGTTTTAAAACTTTTATTTTGTTTAAAAACCGTCGAATACTATATATACATATTACTTTGGACGGTTATTGAGTTTTATTCGTTCAAAAAAGGAAACCACAACCATATTCAAATTTGAGGAAGCCTTCATAGTGCCGAATTATACATGTTTTATGCCAATGAGTTCCTCTGTGTGTCACGTCTTCTTTTAATTTGGGATGTTTTTTTGTTGTTTTTTTTTTTTGGGGGGGGGGGGGGGGGTGCTTTTGATCAGTGCTCACAGTTTTTCTTATCGATTATATACATTCATTTAAAGCATAAAAACGATCTAAAAGAAGACGGGCGTGTTATTTGCTCTAGACGCAGCTCTTTATTTATTTCTGATTTCTTAATCTCTTATTACGAGATTGCGAATTTTAAAATTCGTTACCACGTTTTGCAGAACCCTTTGCATTACACTTTTCAACAAATCAAGTGAATTGAATTAGTTATCTGAACTTTTAGATAGGCGAAATATTACGAGTATGTTCATTATACTTTTGCTATATCCCGGCTCATTGGTGATTGTTCTTAAAGTGAAATAAATTTTACAATTCATTGGATTCAGGTTTCCTGACATAAGTTAAAATAATGGTCGCATAAACGCGATCGATGGACAGTCTGTCATTAGACGTGTTAGATAAATGAATACTTTTGACAAACAACAAACGAGAGTCGAGAGATTATAAACAATTTAAAGGGGTCGTCTCAAAAGAAGTATTGCTTTTTTTCTCTTGTTAATGTAATTCATTACGTTTACCCAAATGAAACATGTTAAAGTTAGGATTTTATTATTTTGAGGCAATTAAATTGTACCCTCTTTCTACCAAACCAGCGCAAAGTTTAACAATCTGAGTTATTCTCCAGCGCGGATGACGCCACATTGTACCAAGTACTTTATAACATTTTAGTCTGCGAATATCATGTGTTCGACATTAGAACGGTCTCTTATATGTTATCCGGTAATATAAAAAGAATCTCTGGGAAATCAAGTCCGTATCCTATTTCTGGCATCGAGTTGAATTGTTGTGCATGAATTTGATGACCAAGGATACCGCTGCCTACTAGTCGTATGTGATTTTGGTTGTCAATCAAAACCTTTGTGTGAATACAGTGCATATGTCTGAGTCCGGAATAAAACTGTTCTCTGAAGATGATGATCTACATTGTACCACCGCCTCCGAAAAAATCTAAAACTGATAAGAAATAGCCAAAGGGAAAGGGGAAAAGCCAAGAACCATGGAACTTGTCCGGAAAAACCAGTTGGCTTATGACCGATTCATAAGGAGGCAAGTGCCAAAATATTTAAGGGCTTTTTGGCAGTGACTAAGAATCTGATTCTGATTCCAATTAAAAATAACAAAATATCCTGGTATATGACTCGTTTGTTTTAGTTAATATATCGCTTTGTCATAAAAAAAAAAGACTATCAATATAATACAGACGTTCAAATTCATGGTATGTACTTTGAGTCTTTTCTCTGAACTGCAAAACATTTTCATCGAGTGAGGTAGCATTGGCGGACCCTGGATGGGGGAATTCTAGGAGAAGGAGCTGCAACTTTTTTCCTTTTTTTTTTTTTTGTTTTTTTTTTTTTTTTACTATTTAATAATGTGAACATTTCATGGTGTTCTAAAGTTGGAATTCCCCTTATCAATTGGCTGGACCCGCGCTTGAATAGCAATTAATAAAGTTGTTACTGTAACGTGTAAATCAATAATAATAATTTTGTTCTTTTGAGATGGTCCCTAATTTAAATGTCTCAACTATAGACTCAATTGTCAACAAAAGTTATTTATCTAACATGTCTAATATTAAATAGCATGTCATAAAAGTATTCGTTCCAAGTTTTCTCAATGCAAGTATTTTATACAATATATATATATATTTATAGATTATCGTTGATCATCTCAACGAAATTGATTTTCTCGCTTGAGCCGGTACGCCGAAAGTGAGAAACGCAATCGAGTTGAGATGACCAAGGATAATCTGTTTGTCGCTATTTTATCTATGACGACGTTTTCAATTGCATGTCAATTTCATTGACAACTCAACGTGCCCCCTTAGTTTCTAGCGATAATTTTTCATATCACTCAACTCCGTAGAGAAAGGAAATTATCAGTCAGCAAGATCAAAATAAAATTTCGTAAAATAGCGATAAATATATATATATACTCATACTTTCTTTTTCTGAAAGAATTAATTCCGGTTCTACATAAGTAAAACATCAAAAGATATTGGAAAATATACATTTCACGCAACAAGCCATATAATCTACTAGAGAGTTGCCTCATACCACTTTTTTTCAATTTAGTATATAAATTTAGATTTAATATGCTAATAAATCAGCGATGAGTTGTTGCTATTTTATCGATACCTGTTGTTGGCCATTATTTTTTTTATGTTTTAAAGTAAGATATCATATGTGTCTTCATTTGTTTTAGATGGAATGCATGTTCAGGAGAAAAAGAAGAATTGATGGCTCTTTTAAAATGTCTAGTGACAGATAAAATACATATTCAGGACGAGAACATGATAATGTGATATGATTATAACCACTTTTTGTACTGGACATACACACTGAGCGCAAGTTCAAAAGATACTTGTCCACATGACGATCCGGGCACATTCTCTACTATTAAATACTGTGAGTTAAGAGGAGAAGCAGTCAATACTCAATTTTAAGTCTTGTGGTTTGACTCTGCCGGAGATCGAACCAACAACCTCCCGAACTCGAGGTTAACACGAGACAAACGAGGCGGTTACGTAAAAAAGAGGTCTAGTGTATATTGTTTGGAATACCAGTAAAAAATATCATCAAACACTTTTATACAGATATGTATAGATTATCGGGTTACACAATGTGATCTTTTTTGGCGAGTGAGCTTCATATTGGATCGAGGGGCTGATATTTTACGATATCTATACGAATAAAACCCGATTACCTGTTTATAGTTCTATTAATGGTCTTTTTCCCCTCCCTAAGACAGTTTTACGCTTGACGAAAATAATTAAGGTTGATAATGTCTCCTGTCACATTGTCACGTCGCTGATAACTTCTCCTCAGACATTGTGACGTAACTGATAATGTCTTGTCTTGTCTCAAAGCTGTGATACGAGAATAAAAGAGCGACTGACCAGGGTGATATAGGCATAGGGAAGGACGATAAGTACTTGTACCTGTTTGCAAGTTTCAACCATAACTTGATGGTAACAAGTATCCAAAAAATATTCAATAATGTCAGGCAAGTAGTGTTATTTGCAAAAATTCACCTTAAGCCATTACAAAGCAATACTGTAAACCAGCTTATTTTCGCGAGCGATTTATTTTTCGCGTTTTTCGCGAGTAGAAAAATAACGCGAATATAAATCGTCGCGAATATGTAAAACTTGGATTTTTCCTTAATTATCTACATGAAGAAATTTGAGAATCCCGAAATTAAATCGCCGCGAAATGAACTAGAAAGGGATAAACGCGAAATAATGTATCCGCAAAAATAAGTTGGTTTACATTAACTAACACATATTAACCTAATGTCACATGCACCATGAATTGCCATGCATGCATAAAACTTCCATATACATATGGAGTGTAATTATTTATGAGTCATTCTGCCTGGCATGATTTTGTGAAATCAAAATTTTTTGTGTGGCTAATAATCAAAGGATATTACAAGAATTATATCAATGCAATACAAAGCAATAAGTATGCTTCAGTAGTTTTAGTGAATGAAATATATAACATACAAGGGAAACCATTGACAAACTATTCAACTTCCGTAATGTGTTATCTTTTGTAAACACGACATCATAAACAACCGACTTTTAAAAGGTTGTATTCACCTTAATATATCAGCTTTACTTCCTTGTTGTGTTGCTATAGTTTGAAAAGGAAAAGGAAAAAGACATGCTGCTGTGGACTATCCTACTGGTATTTGTTATAGATATACAATCTGTAAATGGTAAGTAACGATTTTTTTTACTGTCATTTCAACACGATAGTGTCACAAAGGTCTCAATATCAATAATTAGTCAATGGCCTTTATTTATGTTGTTATTGATATCGGTGACATAATGAAAACAAACTTTTTTATACATTTTATTGAAATATGTAGGATAAATACTCTCGTGAATAAAGTTTTCTGAAAGATTTCACTATAATTCTTTGATTCACAGTTCATTTTCCTGTTTACGACAAAAAATTATAGATGCATGTATATGTTTAAACCTAATGAAATGATTCTTCATCTGTTATTTTTTTGTATTACTAAGCAAAAGACAGACTTTTTTAACTAAATTATGGTTTAGTATTTACAAAACGTAAGATAAACATAACGAAAATTATAAATCAATGTCAATATATACTCGGAAATATTTTTTACCAATTTCAATAGCTGTACACGTGATAAATATCGGTCATATTAGTCAGTTACAAAACGAGTATTTATTATTTCTCTGTATATTGTATATGGGTTATTCAGCAACTTCTTGTTTGGCACTTAGCATATCGAACGTTTGTTTCTATTACTGTAATCATTAATGTTGTCCCTTCAGCCTGGTATTTTTGTATTGCTACTTCACAGTTAATAAGAAAAGTGTTTCCTGCTTGGAAGTGTATGGTTCTACATGATAACAACTGCTTTGTATTCTAACCTTCACAATAAACCATATCTTAGGATAATATATATGGGTATCTACCAATGAAATATAGATCTAGTAATGTTCATTTTTTTGTGTTCATTTAATATGCTACTTTAAATAAATTCACTTTTCATTACAAATAAAGTACGCTACACGTATTAGTTCATAACTTTCGTATACGTAGCGTCGGTGTTTTCAATGCTTTCTGGAAAATGAACGTTATTTGTAATAGGCATCGAAAATAACGTACGCCATATTTGCTAATAAATACAAACAAAGTTAGAAATATAAATATATCAGTTACAAAGATAAGGAAATGCTTTCTTAATTCCTGAAAAAAAGATGATTTTAATGAGCTTATACAAAGCTAGTTCAAAGTAGAGGACAACTAATGAATAAAACACATGTTTCCCAGACTTGTGTATGTGCCTTCATTCATACAACGCTTGTTTTTAATTGTCACCTGAATTTGTACATTTTTAACTCAATATATCTTATTGTTTTCATGATGCCTGATTGCTACTGATCTGTCGTAAATTTCACATCTTTTGACTAATACCAATAAATAAAGAATAGAAACGGAAAATGTGTCAAATAGACGACAACCTGGTAAAAGAATAGAAATCAGCCAAAGGCCACCGATGTGTCTTTAACACAGCGAAAAGTCCCACAGGCGAAATCGGGCTTCAACAGCCCTTTAAATGTGCCCATATATGTTTCTTTCAATAAAAAACATGAATGTTCCTTCTATAATTTATATGTTATTTTATTTCTATAAACAACTTCTACTTCTTATGTTATGCAACTGCAAGTTCACGTTGGTTCCGCCTCAAGATCTCAATTTCATTTGCACCAAATTTCAATATACAAAGAAGATGTGGTATGATTGCCAATGAGACAACTCTTCACAAGAGACCAAATAAAACAGATATTAACAACTATAGGTCATCGTACGGCCTTCAACATTGAACTCTGGATCTGTTTTTTGCTTTTTAGATAAGCATATGTGTAAAAAAAAATAGACTAACATATCATTCTTAGTCGCTTTAACATGCATAATTGCTGTGGAGTAATCTAACAGATATAGATCGAATTAAAATGAAAAGAACCCGTATGTGAACATTGTGAAACTAGTTTTAAATGTAGGACTTAAATATGTGTCTTATATAAATAGAGGGTTTAAAACTAGTCTCGGTTCTAAGTACAGTAGTTCTTTTGAGTTTGACCCTTCGCAAAAGTTAGCTTGAGTAATCTTTTTACATATTTCTTTTACATTGTATTACGGAATACACATGGTATACAGCAACTTAGTACATCTTTGCTATGTATGCTATTTTGATACACATAATAGTGTACTTATATAATTAGCAGTTAACACATTAACAACTGTTTGTATCTTTAACGTTGGCCTTGGAAAGAGACAATGGTATTTATTGAATAGACAAACATTTATGAACATACAGATTCATAATAACAAAATTTAATAATCTTTATAAGAGCGTTAGCACCGATTTAGTTTAAAATATTAACGAAAGCTGAATGTCGATATAAAATCGTGTATGTTTGTCAAGAAAGGATCAAGATAATGCTGATTTATTCATCCTCTTTGAATATGTACTCATGTGACCTTCCATGTATCTCCTTATTTAAGCTGGGTTACGGTGGGATACGCATGTACTAAGCCTGTTCAACTATCAAAAGAAAATTCAGTCTGTTGGTGTCATCAAGACTAAATTACATTCGAAATATTGATACATATTATCGAGTCCATGCATTGTTAATTATTTAGTTTAGACTTTTTGTTATTTGGATAAACGTTTGAGTGTGTATCAATCGAATCGTTAACCATGGATTTAATAGATAATGCACCTCACAGTCTCGTTGCATATCGGCATAGAGATATATTTTTTTTTAGCATATAGCTTACAATCTGATCAAGCATATCACACAGACAGAAAAACCTGGAAAGCTGCTTCTGAAATATGTAGCAAAATTGGTTTAGAGTTTGACGAAAAGGTGTTGACGAATATTGCCGTGCTGCAAGAAAAAGAATTTTGGATTGGAATGGCTATTTACCATATAGCTACACCATGGATTGAAAGTATGGGTACGTAAAGTGTGTCAATTTGAATGTAGGATAAATTAACCATGTTAATTTCAAAATAGGAATCCGGACAGTTGTAACATGCATAATATACAAATGAGGTGCAGTTTTTTCAATTCACCTAATGAATTACTATATAAAGTTATCGAAAGCTTTAAAAGAAATTATGGAAAGCCAAGCCAATATTACCAATAATTGCGATAATTAAAAATTATTCAATGGGGCTTGAATGTATGGTGTTTTTCCATGGATTGACCTTTATGATAAATATTTTACCACAAGTGATAGCCTATTGCATTGCAAATTATTAAAAATTATTAAATCAAATACATTGATATGGTTAACTAATTCGTACCATCGTTTGTTCAGGTTGCTGTGGTTAATTATAACTACCTACGACATGGGGAGTAAATAATTATAGCCAATACAAAATGCGACGATGTTGATCAGCTAACATGCAATATATTTGCATTTTACCGCGGATATGTTCTCAACGTGTTTGAAGGAAGTCGTGTAAGAATCAAATAATGATAATAAAACAGAATGTTCAGTTTCATATATGTTTGCATGTATCCAAATGGCAATGACTTTTACAACAAACGCTGGAGAAGGGAATTTTGATTTCTGGCTTAATTAGTGTAATTACTTAACTATCTTAAATATTATTTGAACTTGTACTACTTTATTTAGACAAAAATGGGTAGTTTTCATCATAATGTTGAAAACAATTTTTTGCCATCTATATTATGTATATGTATTTAAACTTAGTGCAGTCTTTGAAATGTTAACTTTTTTACGTCTACCCCAAAACAAAACAAAATCCTTTAAATATGTAGTGAACAAAGAACTTGAACATTTTTATTTAGTACCTATGTTAACCGTGTTAATGTTTTGATTTATTTGCAACGCAATGCGCAACTTTCTGATCACTTTAATTTAATCCATAGTTCAATAATCATACAAACAAAGATACACTCGGACATAAAAAAAAGGGATCATATCTTTTAGCACATAGATATAAACAGATGCGAAATTCTTTAATATTAGTAACAGTTTTCGATCAGAAATATTGTTTAAAATGTTTAGGTATGTTAGGATAGCGTTTAGAAATAACACTACTATTTCGTAGCCCATTGATTTTAATGTTTAATGTGGATTCATTATTTTTCATGTGTATCAATGTTCGTGGATTGAGGAAGCTTTGTATGTTCGTGAATATCTGATTTCGTGGTTTCAATAAGTTCTGCATTCAAACATATAACAAATCTGTACTTCATTGAAGATTTAAATTCGTGGTTCACCTGTTAACACAAAATCAACAAAAATTGGTATACCACGAATAATTAAGACTAAACAGTAATTACTACAACTTCAAGCATACATAGCTATGTTTTATTTAAGATTTAGATAGAACAATAGTTATTGTCAAAACCTTATTCTGACTTGTGCTCAAAATATCAATATACCTTCCACTTCATATAAGAGCGCCCTTGATCCTTTAAGTTTGGAAGAACAACAATTCTAAAATGAGCAAGAGGACAAATTTTCCTATCTTAATTTCAGAATTTTTTTACTGTTCAATAGAAACTTTGACAATGGTTCTTCGTCCTAAAGTCTAATAAGATACCAAGATAACCCTTTTATTTAACTTATTGTTACAGCTATGCATAGGAATTATTATGTTTAAAATATGTGCTACTTTCTTGTTTGTTCTTTCTGACCGGGCCAAATAAGTAGTTCTATACCTAAGAACTCATGGACTATTTCATGCGAACTATATCTTAGCAAACATGTTACATCATGTATATTTTCTTTGTAAATTATTGAAAAAAGATTTACACTTCTTCCGTCTCTAATGGAACAGCTTTCATACAAATGATTGCGCCAACCTATGTTATTGAAAGTTGAAGACGCGAAAATCGAAAATCTCCGGACTATTGTACTCTATTGTATCTTTACTTCTACATTAATCAAAGCATTGCATTATTTGCTACAAATCACATACATGTTATTGGTTGATTATTACGATGTAATGGTCAATGTGTTTTAAACAGGTTGTTATTCAGTACCAGACGGACAGGAAATTAAGAAAAGTCCATCAATTGTATTATGCCAAAAACAATGTGTCTCGTATCAGTTCTTTGGTTACAGTGTGAGTATTTAATTTCTTCAAATGTGAATTTTCTGGCTATTTATGTTATTATTTTTTATATGACTCAATAACATTTACAGAGAACAACAACAAATACGTTACAAACCTCAACAAAATGAAGTATGACAATCCAAAAGCAAAAGAAAAAAATAAAAGACATACACATCAAAAACAAATGGCTAATGCAAGTATCCCTTTCAACATTTTTATGCGTATGTTTTGTAATCTATTCATATAATATTGTATGGTGAACGGGAGGAATGTTCTTTTCTTGTATTGTCAGTTTTTATTTCCGCGATGATGATGTTATGTTGGCTATTCCTTCATTGTCCTAGTGGTATATATAAAGAGGCAAACTATACCAGACGGACATTCAATAAGTTAAAAAAAGAAATTGACAATGCCATGGCTAAAAATGAAAAAGATTAACAGACACACAACAGTACAGAACACGAAACATAAAAAACACTAAGGATTGCTGAACACGAAAACTACCAATAACTGAGTGCAAATCTCAGGTGCTGCTCTTGTAAGTAAGAACCAGTTGATATGTCTTATTCGGTAAATATCACTGTTTTGTCTAACAGATGTGCAGTTACGTTTAAAAAGTGAAACTGATTGGTTTGTGCTTTTTTTTTTTTTTTCTACGTTCAAATTTTGAATAGTTTGGGGTTTTTTTTTTTTGGCATTGCACAAAATCAAGTCTTGGTGTATTGCGTTTAAAATTTTCCATATGGTCTCTTCCATGAATGACGTACGGCAATCGATATTAAAAGAAATTGCTCTTTTTTTTTTTTTCATGTACTCAGCTTTGTGTCTTTTGCTTTCGTGTTAGTTGTTTTTGTGAATCGTAGCGATCCATTAGTTATAATAAGTTTTTCCACTGAATTTTACAATTTGTTCTTATTTTGTGCTGTAAACCCACTGTCACAGGTAAAGGAGTTATAGTCTAGGCCGTTCTTTTCTTAATTGAATTGTGTCAATTTTTTTATATCGATGGCCATTACAGCGACAATATCGTTTGGTTTTTGCTCATTGTTATAGGCTAGGTGTCCATAATTTCTTACCTCCACTTGATTTGATCTCTGATTGATACTTTTATTTTTATGCTAAATAGTGTGCAACACCAGTTTCCCAAATACATATATGTTATAGATTTGTTTAAAATAGAGACGACACAGTTGATCGGTCATTATAGAATTGTATCCAATCTTTTAGAACAGACCACATGAAAGCTTTAACCTACAATTAACCCTGCCGCATTATATATCTGTACAAAGTACAATCACTAAAATACTGAACTCCGAGGAAAATTCAAAACGGAAAAATCAAAAGCTCAAACACGTCAACGAGTGGATAGCAACTGTCATATTCCTGACTTGGTACAGGCATTTTCGTATGTAGACAATGGTGGATTAAACCTGGTTTTATAGCTAGCTAAACCTCTCACTTGTATGACAGTCGGATAAAATTTCATTATATTGAAAACGATGTGTGTCTGTCAAATAACAGCATATCAAGTTATTGAAATTTTATTTCGTTGAATATTGAAATTCGTGGTTTTCCTGTATCCACGAATTCTTTGAAAATTGGTGTTCAAAGAATAATTATAATGAATCCACTGAATATGGAATGTTTTATCACTATTTTTGTATTATCTCAGAATTTGAATTTCATTCTTCAATCACAAATTCAAATTTGAATATCCAAGTTACCATTTTATAACTGAATGTTTTTTTTTTTAATTTTAGGGGACGATGAGAAGGGGGGGGGGGGGGGGGTAATCCTATATATTAAGTACGATATGTAATATAATTGCAGGAGTCAACAGAAAACTGTTTTTGTCATCAAATTAAAAGTAGTTCCCATAATATAAGTAATTGCATAGACAACATTGATTCGAAATATTCCTTCGTTTATAAAGGTATGTAGAAAATTATGATTTGATTACAAGCACTTATTTCAGTACAATATAATAATAGCATTACATGTACGTGTAAATAACCAGTGGAATATAAAGTCACTTAACTTTATTTGTGTTGAAAGAAAATAAGTAAATACTACTTCTTCTTCACTTTATAAAGACATTTTTTTTTTTATACGCGGTTTGAAATCTTTATTCAATATCTCATTCCAGAGAAATGTTTCTTAGTACAGCCATGTCTTCACATTTTACAACTTTTGTAAATGTTTTTCCTATCTCATTTCTCAAGACCTTGTTGATAAATACGCCGTATCAACTCCACAAATAATACATGATGGTCTTGGTGTATAGATTCTGCGTACTGACGTTGTTTATCATCTTAATAACGTTTTATATTGTTCTTTTATTTGTCTTTGTTCTATAATTAATATTACTTTTACTGTTTGGTCTGCTTTCGGTGTTATCCATTTGACATGGTTCGGTACTTATACATCCCGTCAATGTGTTGTTTGTATTATCTTTCATTTTTGCTTGTGTGTTTTGTACGTGTGACTTTTTGTGTTTCTTTGGTACATATGACGTGGCTCTGTACTTTTAAACATCCCGCCATTATGTTATTGTTCTATTATAATTTTGAAAATACTTTGAACAACAAAATTATTTTATATCTCTTCCTGTGTGACGTTTACATTCTGACATCAAACACACGACTCTACACTAGAGTTGATGTGAACCTTGCCATTCAGTCACAAGATTTCAAATATTTCAATCCTTTATGGGTTGATTTAAAATACATATAAAAGTAAGCAACCTTTATAGCTTGCTGTTCGGTGTGAGCCAATGCTCCGTGTTGAAGGCCGTACCTTGACCTATAATGGTTTACTTTTATTAATTGTAACTTGGATGGAGAGTTGTCTCATTGGCACTCATACCACATCTTCCTATATCTAATGAATGTGGTTGTTAAATTTGATAGATGCTTTTTTGTGCTTCTTTGTTAAATATTTGTTTGTTTTTGTTATAATTGAGATTGTGACACGGTGATGACTGCTGTACCCCTATTTTGACAATTTTACCTATTATGTCTGTTTTGTTCACGCATCGTTGTAAATATAATGGAATTTGATGCGACTGTCATACAAGTGAGAGGTTTAGCGCTATAAAACCAGGTTCAATCCACCATTTTCTACATTTGAAAAATGTCTGTACCAAGTCAGGAATATGACAGTTGTTGTCCATTCGTTTGATGTGTTTTATCATTTGATTTTGCCATTTGATTAGGGACTTTCCGTTTTGAATTTTCCTCGGAGTTCAGTACTTTTGTGATTTTACTTTTTGTTACAAATTTTTTCATTTATTTTATCAGTGGATGTCTTGTTTTAACTGTTATAATGACCCAGGATTTGTAATATGATTTTTTTTTTTTTACCACATTTAGTATACACTGGGCATGTTTCTGACAATGGCGATGGCAAATGTACGACTTTATTGTGCAGTATAGGTGGCAATGGGTTGAAATCGGCTAATTGTAATGATATAACAGATACAGCAAGGGCCAGTAGATGTAGTAAATATCCTTTTTTATGTGTATATTTAATTTTTTGTGATCACTATATATTAATACACAAGAAAAGCCAATGTTTCTTAAATGACACCTACAACCTATGATAAACAAAGTTGGCACGAACTAACACCTAAACGACATGTTTCTTAAATGAATCTCTCTTTTAGTTTAATGAAAAACTGCTATTTTAAGACAGTAAGTTTATAACATTTTCTTTTACAACTTTATATTGCTATGATCTTAGAATTTGTACACACCTTAAATTGGTGTCTAAATGTTCCATGATAGATTTTTCTTAAACTTCTATGAAAGACTTCTTGGTCAATTTACTTTAAAATTCCAATATAAAAACTATGGAATTTAAAGTTTATACACGAACACAAACGAGACAACCCTAAATTAATGCGAAGGACTCCATAAATATATTTTACTTTATTTGAAATCAATAAAAGCGAACAGTTAACCCTTAGTGCTTATTTGACCTCCAGTTGCTAAAATTACTAAAGTCGTATCAACGTAGAATTCTAACATTATATCCATTTATTCTTCTCTGTACATTCTGTGTCAAAAATTGGTTACTTACAAATTATTTGGTAAAGAGATAATTTGATTATTGAGCGTTACGTAATTAACAAATTGCTTTTATTCACTGACATTGGCAAAACATGTTTGTATAGCTGTGAAGGATTTGATTGCAATTTATCTTTTGACTTTAGTCTGGAGTATGTATTTCAAAATGTGTTCATTTATTGCACCTAATTCTTTCAATTCATTTGACAAAAAATCTGTTAAAAATTAACAACGTTTTTTCCATTTTCCAACAAGAAAGCTTTGATAAAAACGTTGTGCATAGCCTGACCTTACATCGTGGCAATCAGTCATACCAAATATTGAGCTCACATTTTCATTATTTTGCTTTCATCTCTTCCAAGATGATGGAATCATAGTTGGATGGGGTAAACCGTATTCAACAGGCAAACAGGTGTGCCTGGAAAGATTTCAGCTTTTACTTCCACCTGATACTTATTGCCAATTGAATCACATATTCGAAGGGATTCCTTCATGGACAAACGTTTTTCGAGCGGAAACCGAAGCTAAGCTGACAAAAGGTAAAAGTATAAAATGACGTAATATATTATATCATGTTTTTTTGTTTTTTTTTATTTTGAACACCAGACGCGCGTGTCGTGTACAAAACAAATCATCAGTGACCTCGAATCTAAAACATAAAATGGCTTAAAACCTACGAAGTAGAAAGGAATTGAGGACCAATAATTCCGTAAGGCAATCTTTTGCTGGACATTTTTCGAAAAATTCTATTTTAACATTTTATAAATTTATCATTTAACCATAAAAATGATTATGACCAAGAATACAAATGATACAAGTTTCATTCATTTCATTCCAACTAAATGTTCATAAATTATAAAGGGAAACGTAAATGGTGTAAAAACAATATTATATAGCTGCAACGAACTTGCATAATGACTATTCAAACTATTATATAAAGCTAAATTACAAAATTACTGAACTCCAAGGGAAATTCAAAATGGAAAGTATTTTATCAAAAATAGAAACGGGGTGCGTGTCAAAGAGACAACACACCGTATATAATGTTGATCATAATGGACGTCACACATAATTCCGAAATATACAAGAGAGCCAAAATGAAAAATGCACACAAGACTGTTATACTGTATATAATCAATAAACCAACGTTTGAAAACAATTGAAAAAAGGTATATCGGTGTAAAATAGATAGATTTTATTAAAACTGAATACTCATCAAATTAAACGTCTGATACCGATTCTAATGTACACGACATGTGTTACTGTAGTACTAGTTTATTGTATCATATTTGCTTTCTATTTAACTAGTATTTGTATACTGTTGGGAAAGGACCTTCGTAAGTTGTTATAACATGTTTCCGATTCCTTAGTTATACTTTAACTATAAAATATAGTTAATCTATACTTTACAAAAACTTCTTTATGAACGCATACTTACTAAATACAGATGACAAACCATTAATTTATTTCCAGCTGAAGCAGGTACAAAAGAACCGCTTTCTTGTTTAGCAGGCTCGATAACAGGAAAAAGAGTGCTGAATGTAACCAGACGAGCTTGTAATGATCAGTTACAGTTTTTGTGCAGAATAGGTATATAAATCATATATTGGCTAGTTCATTTGTTCTTATATATAAAAAATTAGAGAACACTGTTGAGCTTGATGTATATCCTTGGTTGAAAAGACACTCTTCTGTTTACGTATGAAGTAATATTTACATTTATTTCATGTTCTTACATTCTTCTTATATTGTAAACGTTGATATGTTGATATGTGCATATATGATTGTGGTTCAGAGTACGTTATGTGTTCGTCATTTGCACAATTGAACACACCAGGAACAACGAGCCCTGTGTCATACTGCTTCAAAGAGTAGAAGTTAAATCTAAGTTACAAATTGTTATGCATATATCATGTATATGGCTATTTGTCTTTGGAAACACATTTTGATTCACCATTTTCAAGGTACAGCTTCTTCAACAACCCAAAGTCAAAGCTTAATTGCTGACGATAGACAGGAGTACGGTTCAAGCACAACTTTTCATAAACATATTGGTTTTGATTTTTTTTTTTACTCTATTTATATTTTTTTAAGCACGGGATTGTTTCCATCGGACCAATATTTAAAGCTATATGCATATTTTATAAATGATGTGAACAAGACAATATGTTATGCGTTCGTTATCTACCGAGTATCTCGACAATAGAAAGAGAAAAAAGACTCTCTAGTTTTAGGTCGTCCACTTTCGCCCGTTTAAAGAGAAAGATCATGACATGAAAGCAGACATTCTATTTTTGTTCCTTCCGTTAAAGTCATTGTCAACTATAGTGTATGAGATGCAAGCATGCACTGAAATGTGGGTCTTTGAATGATTAGAATTCGTCCATATATCTGACCGTAATATTAAAGAACTAAAGAAGATAGTAAGATGTTTGAATGATGGATATAAGTTCTTAATGATATGAACTGTTATTGACCAAGAAGTGCAGCATTTTCTTTACAAATATTTCGGTGTATTTGTTATTGGAATCAGTATTGTTATTACTAAGTATGACTTTTCCAAGCCAGACCTGTGTGTTTATGGTTTTTATTCCAATTGGTACTAATTGTGCACCCCTACTGGTCGATTTGTTTTTGTACTCTTATGAAGCAGAATTCATTCAGAACCTTCTAAAAGACAAAAGGAAAAAGCAACTTGCGAAATCTGTAATTTTACTTTCAGATATATTGATGATGTCCTATCACTGAATAACCCATATGTCTGCCAATACTTACATCTCATATATCCCAGTGAACTTGAAATTAAGGATACTACTGATACTAGAAGGACTGCTTTATGCCTTGATTTTTTTCCTCAATATTGACACAGATGGACGACTGCTCACTAAAATCTATGACAAACGGGACGATTTCAACCTCCCAATTATCAATTTCCATTTCTCAGCAGTAACATACCCTCTCCCCAATCGTATGGTGTATTTCACATCCAATCTTTTATGGTAATATTCTTTACAAAGCACAAAAATGTCAGTATTCACCTCAAAAGCTAACAAAACCTTTAAACAGACTTATAAAGAAGGGATATAGTTACGATACTGTTGGCAGGTCATTAAAGATTGCATATTTTGGCTTTAATATTGATTCACTTATAGGGTCTTTTGCATCGGAATTAAACATATTTATTCTAAAACAAGTTGTTGGCATGACACTGGTTATGTTCTTCTCATATATTTTATGATGGTATAATACTAAACCCCTAACAGGAGGGATTGTGCCTGATATTCATATGATGAAGACATAATCTTTCAATCAGTTTAATTGAGGTCTGGAGCTGGCATGTCAGTTACTGCTAGTAGTCTGTTGTTATTTATGTATTATTGTCATTTTGTTTATTTCTTTAGTTTCCTATTCTGACATCGGACTCGGACTTCTCTTGACCTGAGTTTTACTGTGCGTACTGTTGTACGTTTGTTTTTTCTACATTGGCTAGAGGTATAGGGGAGGGTTGAGATCTCAAAAAACATGTTTAACCCCGTCGCATTTTTGCGCCTGTCCCAAGTCTGGAGCCTCTGGCCTTTGTTAGTCTTGTATCATTTTTAATTTTAGTTTGTTGTGTATAATTCGGAGTTTAGTATGACGTCCATTATCACAGAACTAGTATACATATTTGTTTAGGGGCCAGCTGAAGGACGCCTCCAGGTGCGGAAGTTTCTCGCTGCATTGAAGACCCATTGGTGGCCTTCGGCTGTTGTCTGCTCTATGGTCGGGTTGTTGTCTCTTTGACACATTCCCCATTTCCACTCTCAATTTTATTTTTACAGAGTTTGTCTTTAGTGCCGTGTGGAGACAGTAGAGTGCCTCCCCGTGCTTCAGGTTTATGCTCTTATAATATACTAGATTATGGAGTGTGTGTCCGAGCGAGAACTTCTCTTTGTTCATTACTTTAGGAATATTTATCAAAAAGTAGTATTTCACATTCAGTCCCATTCTTCTATATAGTCAGACGTGACGTCAGTCGCTACCCTGATATACCCTATCTTTTGTTTTATTTTTCGGGTACTTTATGACGGATAGCGTTTGACGTCTTTAGCCGAACAGTTTTATTATTTTCACATAATTCAATTTATTGAGTGCTGGTTCATATTCTGGACGCCAGTCTTTGCTCCTTTCTAATAAAATCCACATAACAAAAAACAAATATGAAGCTAAGAAATGGAAAAATATTAAATACTTAACTCGTTCAAAGGGTATCTACACGTCTCAATCTTCAAAATCGCTTATCTAAAAATACTATAATCGCTGACATTTTTACCCTTCTATCGATAAGTGTCATGCCAAAAAATGACTCACATGTCCCCGTCTTTCTACCAACAATACGGTAAGGTCTACGTTTAATAGTCGCACATTTTCTTTAAATTTTGAAACTGATATAACTTGAAAAACAAACAGTATTGTGTATTTACTCACATGAAACAAACCGGGATGCGGTATTCAGTACGAAGGTAAAACTGGACGATATTTATCTAAACGCACGCAAGAACACCTGTATCGTTTTAAAGGGCCCAATAAATTCAAAAGTATCATTTATCAACATCTTAAAAAGCACAATAATCCTATCAAATATTTAACAGTTTAACCTTTAGAAGTAGTAAATAAGCAGCCTGGTGAATCTCATTCAAAGTTTGTACGATCACGGAAAATAATTGAATTAAATTGGATTAAAAAATTACAGACAGTCTGCCCTCTCGGTCTTAATGATAACATCACTGGAATTGGTAATATATCAAGAACCGATTATGTTAACATTTTGGATATAGTTTCTAAAACTGTTCGTTAAAACCGTTCTCATGGACGTAGAAATAATCGCAATCAAAGAAAATTTCATGCCAACCATACAAATATTTCGGACCTAATTTCTAGTTCAAAAACAACGGCAGACATTATCTATTAACCAAGCTCTGTTCTTTACCTATAAATAAATTAAATAAAATTTTAGAGGATTGCAACACAATTTCATATTGCAGTCCTAAGTATGAAATCGTTCAAATTATAATGGCATATTGTTATTCTAAACTCTTTCCCAAAATTGATCGCCCTGAAGATTATAAAAAACATTTTATTAAAATAAAGTATGTCAATAAAGGTTTTGATTTTGTAAATATTGCCGGTATTTTTAACGACCATTCTGTTAAAGAACAAATTCCTGGATATTTTGATAATACTGAACTCCCTCTTATTTGTTATATTTACAAGAAATCTACCCGAAAATTTGTGTTTAATTATAGCCAAGTCTGTAAAGATGTAAATATCAGTGAAAATACACCTCCGTCATGTAATTGTAGTAATTCCGAATACATTTATGGCCCCATTTCCCATGTTATAACAGACCTTAACATCGTTCGCGACCGAGAGTTAAAATCATTCCTCAGTAAAGGACCTAAATATCGTTCCCCGTCAATTATTAATTGGAATTAGTGTCGTAATATCATCCACGACTCACTTCGTGCTTACTGTTTGAAATGGATAAAACGGGAAAAAGCTGACAAAAAATCTTTGGACTCTTTTTTTAATTCAGTAATGAAGATAGTTGATTTACGTAAACAACATTTTAAAGAACATTTTACTCTTAACAACAACCATAAAAATCCTATTTCTCGTATCAAACATCAACTAAAAGAACTAGCCAAGGCATTTGTTTTTGTCCCGGCTGATAAAGCTGCTAATAATATCATTATAGTTTGACGTAAATTTTACATTGAGGTTCTGCAAAAGGAAATCACGATTTCACCAACATTCCAACTGACTTCATTTTCAGAAAACGATATCTGTAACAAACATGAACTATTAGCTACTTCTTTACAAGCAGAACCAAATACAATGAAAGTCCCAACTATGTACTGGCTTCCGAAGCTACACAAATCACCTTACAAATATAGATTTATTTCGTCTTCAAGTCATTGTTCCACTACTAAATTGTCTATTCTACTTACTAGTACAAAAACCTGATAATAAATTGTTCAAATAAGGCCTTTGAAAATAGTGGAATTAACTACTTTTGGAGTGTCAAAAACTCGTTGAAAGTACTTGATAAATTGCATGCATATATTGGTGATTTTGAATCTGATCAAAGTTTTGATTTTTCTACCCTATATACCACTTTGCCTCATATTCTTATTAAGAAAAAATTCACACACCTACTTAAATGGGCATTTAAAATGTTGGAATGCGAATACATATGTTCAAACTCTTTTAGGTCATTTTTTAGTAGCAATAAACAAAAGAGCTATGTCAATTGGACATGCTTTGATACTATATCTGCCCATGAATTTTTACTTGATAACATTTTTGTTCGCTTTGGAGATTCCGTATATCGTCAAGTTATCGTAATTCCAATGGGGACTAACTGTACACCACTTATTGCGGACCTGTTTTTGTATTGTTATGAGTTACAATGTATGACTAAAATCAGCAAATACCCATCGAAACAACATCTGATACAAATATTTAACAATACTTTTAGATATTTGGATGATATATTGGCTCTCAATAATGACGACTTCAATGTGTATACTAAAGAAATTTATCCTGTTGAACTTACTTAAAATAAAGCTAATACTAACAATGACCACTGTCCTTTCCTCGATCTTGATATCTATATCATTAACGGGAAGCTTAATACAAAAATTTATGATAAAAGAGATGATTTTTCATTTCCTATCGTTAATTGTCCATTTTTAGATGGTGACGTTCCCTTGTCACCATCTTATGGTGTTTATATATCTCAGCTTGTACGATTCGCTCGTGTATGTAACAACGTATTAGATTTTAGCGAGAGAAATTTATGTATTACTGAAAAATTATTACACCAAGTTTTCGATATCATAAACTAGTCAAAACATTTACTAAATTTTATCATCGGTATAAGGACATCATGCGTAAATATAACTCAACATGCAGACATCTTATACGTTCGGGTATTTCACATCCAATCTTTTATGGTAATATTCTTTACAAAGCACAAAAATGTCAGTATTCACCTCAAAAGCTAACAAAACCTTTAAACAGACTCATTAAGAGGGATATAGTTACGATACTGTTGTCAGGTCATTAAAGATTGCATATTTTGGCTTTAATATTGATTCACTTGTAGGGTCTTTGCATCGGAATTAAACATATTTATTCTAAAACCAGTTGTTAACATGACACGGGTTATGTTCTTCTCATATATTTTATGATGGTATAATACTAAACCCCTAACAGGAGGGATTGTGCCTGATATTCATATGATGAAGACATAATCTTTCAATCAGTTTGATTGAGGTCTGGAGCTGGCATGTCAGTTACTGCTAGTAGTCTGTTGTTATTTTTGTATTATTATCATTTTGTTTATTTTCTTTTGTTTCCTATTCTGACGTCGGACTCGGACTTCTCTTAAACTGAGTTTTACTGTGCGTACTGTTGTACGTTTGTTTTTTCTACATTGGCTAGAGGTATAGGGGGAGGGTTGAGATCTCAAAAAACATGTTTAAGCCCGCCGCATTTTTGCGCCTGTCCCAAGTCAGGAGCCTCTGGCCTTTGTTAGTCTTGTATCATTTTTAATTTTAGTTTCTTGTGTATAATTTGGAGTTTAGTATGACGTCCATTATCACTGAACTAGTATACATATTTGTTAAGGGGCCAGCTGAAGGACGCCTCCGGGTGCGGGAGTTTCTCGCTGCATTGAAGACCCATTGGTGGCCTTCAGCTGTTGTCTGCTCTATGGTCGGGTTTTTGTCTCTTTGACACATTCCCCATTTCCATTCTCAATTTTATATCTGAGTTGATACGTTATGCTCGTGCATGTTCACACTATACGGACTTCATATACAGGAGTGTGTTCCTTACGCAGAAACTGCTCAAACATAGTAATGAGGAGGAAAGATTAAAAATGACACTCCGTAAATTTTATGGACACCATCACGAATTGGTTGATCCATACGATTTGTTTGTGTCTAAACTACTTAAGGACATTTTTACCACGTCTTAAATTTTGGTTTATCATTTACGTCGTCTGGTCTTTAAAGTACCGAACATGACATATTGCCGAATATGACTGGTTTGCTGAGTATGAATTCGCATTGCTACAAGACGTGTCACGGTATTTGTTTATCCAACATTCATGTACTTAGTTATGATGTTGTATTTGTAATTCTGATCGGATATTTTTAAATGTCTTATCGTTTGAAGTTGTAATTTTAATTTGTTTATTTTCTATTCGTATGTAAAAGTAAAGATAGTTAATCATCCAGTTCATTTATCAGATTTTAGTTTAAAGCAACTATATCTACACGATTTATTTGTTTTACAGTTTAATTTAGAAGAAATACCGACATAGCTAGATAATACCATTAATTATCTAATTACTAACACAATTCTATATTTTTGTGATTGTTATAAAATACATCAATTAGCATAATTACAAATGTAATCGTGATTAATATCCAATTTATAGATATTTACCTGTGACGTCACTTTTGTGGCGTTGATCAAGTCGAGTGACGAACAGTACGTGGTTCTGGTTTGTTGTTCTTGGGTGCTGTCCTAGGTTGTTTTACGTGTTCGTTGTTATTCTGTGTTAGCATGTCCATATGTACTATTTTATTGTTTATTTGAGTATTTCTCTGTCCTGAATGTTCTTGCATCTATTTATAATGTACTGTATTCCTGTAATGTAATGTTGTTGTCATTTTAGTGTTATATTTAACATTGCCATAAAAGCGCGAGGTTTGGCTAGACACAAAACCATGTTCAGTCCACCATTTTTTCTTAAAATGTCATGTACCAAGTCAGACAAATGGCAATTGTTAACTTATAGTTCGTTTCTGTGTGTGTGTTGCATTGTCGTTTGTTTTTGTTGCACTTCAGGTGTTTCTGTTGTTTTGTTGATTTCATCTTATTGTTGATGTGTTTCCTTCGGATTTAGTTTGTAACCCTGATTTGTTTTCTCTCAATCGATTTATGACTTTCGAACAGCGGTATACTACTGTTGCCTTTATTTATAATGGAAGAAATCATGGTAAAATGAGGAGATTTGTACTATCTTTCAATTGAAATTGAGGTTACATGAGTTAATTGATGTTCAAATCTCATACACCGATTAACGGTGTCTAGACTCTACTTAATCAAAAGAAGATTTGATACCAATGATTATTGATTTTTATCTTTCCATAAATAAGTTCTCACATGTTTTGATAACAGAAATATAATTTCAAAAAAATCATGTAACACCTTAACTATTTCAAAAAAAAATTGAGTACACAGTATAAATATTGTAGTTACATAAAACTTGAACAAAAAATATCTTTTTAAACAATTTCTAACCTTATTTTCTAGACGAAGCATCTGCTCCAACCTCAAGCCAAATCGTAATTGCAACAAGGACAATGAAGAAAGATTCTAGCGGCAGCATTGATATAGGTACCTTTTTATCAGCTAGTTGTTGTCTTCAATATAACTTAGCAATTTTGTATAAGGTGAACACACATAGAACGTTTGATGGATTAACGGATGGTTATAGTTACTACTTTTATTCAAGTACTATTTGAACTCGATAAATTGACATATATGAGCACATTTTCATCGTGCAGTTAATATTATCATTTCAAAAGAACAAAAATGTACCAATGCCTCCTGAAATAAGACCTTCAAGGCCTAGATTATCTGAACACAGTTTTATTGACTATATGTTATATTCTTACTAGATATAAGTGAAATTTATTGTCCACATATGTGTCATAGTTGTTTCTTTTCTCTATAGGTCCAGTTATTGGTGGCATTACAGGTGCCATCACACTATTGGCTGTTTTGTTTGTGATGATTTACTGTAAGATAAGGTGATATTATAAATATGTGCTGTATTTAAGTAAAGTGTTTTAAATCTCCTTAACATTCACTGTTATAAAAACAAAAATAAATTTGCTAATGGTAAATATATCAAATTTTTAGTTATTTCCCTTAACTTAATTATTATCTTGTGACTAACTAAATCAGACGTTGGTGCATGGACATGGATCTGTATCATTTTTCAAACCGGTGTTTAATAAAGAGCGTGTCTGGAAAATTTTTGCATTTGTTTTTATTTTCCATTTTAAAATTGACTAGCCATAACGTCGTTTGGAACAATTTAATCTAAAACAAAAAGTGTAACAGTTCGTTCTAATACTTTCTTGTTAGGATTGTCAAACATGTGGATTTTGTAAACAGTGTGTTGTATTTTTTTTTTAATTCAATCCCATAAATCGTTCTGTTTAAGCAATCTGTTAATACAAAACGTAGAGTATTCCCGATTAGTAGCTGTTTTGATTTACACGACCAAAATCATTGTCAGTATTCACGGTCGGGGCAGGATTTGTGATTGGTTTAAACGTACATCGTAACAAACAAATTGATAGGGTCTTACGATGTTTATTTGTACATTAAAAATATAGTTCATGTTAATTTATCTCAAATCCAAAAGTTAGACATTAAACATTGTAAAAGTTGTATAGACAAAAAACTAACAAAAAGGGACGATAAATCAAAACTATTCGAGAAACTCTTTCAATCGACGGGATAAAATAGAAAAAGAATTCGTTTGAAAAGTACACAATTCTAGATAGTTTAAAATGAAATCAGTATTTCAGTAAACTATCTGATTATAATACACAATTATCACCTCCTTGATATGTTGTACAAAGTGTTACACTTGTTTTCCTATCATTACTGCATTAGAATCAAAATTACTGGCGGCATATTTAATGTTATGTATTCAACTTATCCATTTCACTTTATTTTGGGTTTTGAAATTTTTTTGACAGTGGTAGCTACAACTGTAAACGTTAGTGCTACGGTTAATACTTGCACTTGGTCCACTGCGTTTGAATAAAGTTAGGTCCGGGGTAATGGCCGAGAAAACAGCAATATGACTTTAACAATATAAGATTGCAAAAGACAACCAATGAATAGTTGTTTAATTTGACACAGGGAAATGAAAATCAACTTGCTTCAAGACCTTATAACTTAGATTGTTTGTTTGCTATAAATATGGCGTATGATCTGATTTAAAAATATTATGCACATGCATATACATTTCCTATTATATTTTGATTATATTAACTGATGCTGCATACTAAGATAATACTGTTTTTTTATACAATGTTATTCTTCACTCGAAACGAACTACTTACTTTCCCAAGATACAGGAGTGCACCGACATTTGTCTGTGGCGTTTAGTGCTGACTTCTTGGTTTTCAGTAAAATATTTTAAGAACTTGTCGGCATCCTTCTTTTTTCGGTAATTTCTCATTTTATTAACAGTATTGTCTGTTTATGATCGACTTTAACGTATGAATATCGCTTTTGTATATATTACCTCTTCACAGATAGATCTAACATTACATGATATTTTTAGGTCATGTGGATTTTTTAAATCGGCTAATACGGATAAGCAAGAAGTCCAATTCTCCAAAGAATTCTACGAGCATTCACAAAATCCAGAAGTTAGAACAATTGAGACGCCGATTTCTAACAAATCATATGGCTTAGCTCCAATCAATTCAAGCAACACGTATGCAGTCGTAAACAAAATTAAAAAGAACGGACTCCAAACAACTGAGGACACTTATACTGAAACATCATACGGAGAATATGATCGATTAAATGTTTTGTCGAAAAATCGAACAGATTCAAAGACAAATTTATATGACAGCCATGCAGGGATTCGTAACGAAAGTGACCCAACATACGACAGTTCCAACCATGGAGGAAGAAAACTGCAACTTGATAACGATGTGTATGATCATACAGACACATTATCAACAGACGGTAGTGACTATGGTTATTCGTCAACTCTCAAATCAGAAACTAGAAATGAAAATGATGTATACGATAAAGCAGTCTAGCGGCAACAATTTATTTCCTGAGAAGGGTTACTGGTAACGCACTATTATGGAATGTGATCACAATAATATATTTGATAACATAGATTTGTATGTAACCCTGATTTCAAGAAGTGACTGTTTTGATAGATCTATATCTTAACCAGGTTAAGTTCACTCTTTTTGTAATCAGGTATTCACCTTTCGGTCATCTTATACATTTCATCGTCTTCTTAACTATAGTAAAGCAATTCAGATTAAGAAATTTAATAGACGTTTTTTTTTGTTTTTTTTTCATTTTTTTTTTACGTTCGTGGAGCAATTATCTATGCATATGTTATGTGTAGAAGAATTAAATAAAATAATCTTGATCGGTGTTTCAGATATCTCATGAATAGATAAAAGTTCCTTTATTTACATTTCACCAATAAAAGAACTCATATATCATCAGATATTTTTAAACATACAAGACATATTGTATGCGAATAAACTGACATGTTTATGTACTTTTAAAGCAGAAATTTTCGCTGGGGATTTAATTTCATTAATTTCGTGGATAAGAATTATCCACGAAATTAAAACCCCAACGAAAATTTAACTGTAGATTTACATTATTTTATGATCTGACAAAATCATATTGACATTATATAAATCATATGAATGATGAACATAAATGCATACACTGAAATTAATAGGTTGATTGATTAGACAACAATATGAAAACGTTTTCTTTAAGTCAGATGATAATCCTAATCTTTTGTTTGTACAGTAATAAATAATGATCAAGAACTGTCAATCAATGTCATTTAATAAGTCTAACGCGTCTGTGATGCCCTCAAGTCGTAAAAGCCAGTTAGCGTGTGTCTGTCACAACACTTAATTAGTGCTCACTGTTACTATGAAATGCAATTACTGATTTACCAACGCAGAAAGTTAATATCAGTTTTATTGACACTAGTAACTCGAATTTAGCTTGAACGGACAAATTCGCATTAACGGCATTTAAAAAAGATTAATGAAAATTAAATAAAGATTGACAAAAATTAAAAATTATTTTTAATGCATTTCAATCCATATCAAGTCATTTTAATACCAGTCAAATAGATTCCCTTGCGGTCATTCAAGTTAATTTGTTAACTGATGTTAAGTCCTTTTAAACTTTAAAGCGTCCGCCTTTTTGTAAGGTAAATCACTCAAGCGGTACAGCATCCGCGTGTATCTATCGTTTAACCGTTCCGAGCGTTATCGATTTTAGTCAGAAAAGTAAAAATGTACCTCTTACAAATATTCACATTAAAATTAAATAATGACAAATACATGTGTAAACTAAGTTTTTTATAGTTAATGATGCCAGATTTTTAAAATGCAGCGAAAAGTATAATTAGTTTTTTTTTTTTTTTTTTGTTAACACGCAGCAGCTCTTGAGATAAAAAAAGTGACTGTCATAAAAAAAAATTATTTTGCTTGAAATAAAACGAGAAAGCTGATAGTTATTTAATAGCCAATAAAGGGACCAAAATAAGCATGTTTGATGAATGCCAATGGATATTGTACGCAAACATAAATCTATATGAAGGTATCGTCTGATCAAAAATGTAATTTCGTCGAGAATATGCAATAATATTTGCCACGTTACGTTAAGCAAATTAAAATGAACCAATTCAGTCCCGAACTTTTAAAAATTCACATTAAAACATATCTCTTTTTTTTTGGTCTAATTCGCATAGAAAATTAAAATTTCGTTTAGCTTAAACAGTTTTAAATGCGCCCCGTACTCGTATACCGGATACCAAATATACATGAACACTGTTTGTCTTGAGTCTGATAGTGCTCTGCTAGTCATTACTAAATTCATACGTGTAAAACTATACAATTTTACTCATCTGCCTTCACCACAAAGTCTTGGCTAACACCGAACAGCAAGCTATAAGGTGCCCCAAAATGACCAGTGTAGAACCATTCAAACGGAAAAACTAACGGTCTATATATTCGACTTTTGAAATACATAATCAAACAACAACCACTAAACAGCAGGTTAGGGCAGATGCAAACAAATACAGCGGAGTTCAAAAGCCCAAGTACACGAATAATTCTCGAGACTTAAGTGACATTGTTTTAATAAGATCAGAACCTTATATGTGTTAATTTTAAAGCAAAAGATATAAGTTTGTAAGAAAAATATTGACATACCAATTCTAATAGCTAAGAAAATTTCCTTTTGCTAAACGATGATAACATTTTAACATTTTGGTATACTTTATAATTCATAATCTATTTCTGAAACGACTTCTCGCCTTGAACATGTATGAAATGTTTGCCACTGGACGTTAAACAACCATTAATCAATCATTCAAATTGTGCTTTAAACATGAATTAAGCCGCAAGTGTATCCATCAATGAGTGCTGTTGTTTTTTTGTCCATTTAAGATATACTGAATTCGTTTTTGTCCAGAATTATATTCCTTAGAAGAGTTCAAGTACGTAAATACATTCATAGGGTATCATGTGCTAGTTGAAATTTTTCAGTGAAATCAGTATTGTGTGTCCAACGTTCTTTCATGCATATCAAATGTTGTATCCACTTTTTGCTGTTCGTAGTCTGTTAGTCCTCGGTTTCCAGACTTTAGCACACACTTATGTAATGACCAATCTCAAAAGGGGGAACATTTTTTTTATTAAAAAAAAAATAAAACAATTTATATATTCTATCATTCAATTAACCGATGTACACCTAAGATTTTCAACTATAGATGTTGAATTAAAAAAAAAAATAATAAGTCCCAATATATTTTTATGGCAAACATATCTAATGGGTTATTTTCTCATGCAAAATAATTATTTTTTCATTTTTTTCAAGATAATAGTGTTATCAGATATGTTCTTTGACACGTGTCTTACGGGTCACCGATTTTCGGCAAAATCAAAGAAAATCAGCAAGTGCCTAAACATTAGTTTTAAGAATGTTGATGCTGTATTAATATATGGAACATGTCTACTTACCAAAATAGAGTACTCACATTTAATTTTCTTGTAAATGAAATTGGGAATGAATATGGGGATAATGGACGTCATACTCAACTCCGAAGTATATAAAAGAAACTGAAATTAAAATTATACAAGACTAACAAAGGGCAGAGGCTCCTGAATTGTGACAGGCGCAAAAATGCGGCGAGGTTAAACATCTTCATTTTTTTTTTCGAATTGTCTTTTTTTGTGAAATTATTCAGCAACAAATTAATCTATTTATTTTTAATAAAATGAAACAAGACTTTTTTAACGAAATGAAGTATTTTTTTGTCCCTTATATTCAAAGGAAATAAACAATTTGTCAAAACAAAAAAAAATAAATAAAACTCCGCCCAACCTTCTCTCCTAATTGCATGAACTTGAATTGGTATGTTATTATCAGTTTTATCACTTTTTCGGATGAACTTTATAATATTGACCCAGGAAATGATTTTTGACAGAATTTTATATATTGTATAGTAGAATTCGTTCTTTTAATCGACACATTAATTGATTATTTGCTTCCGTAAAATGTTATTTTTCGCGACGTCAAACTGTGAAATATCGGAAAAAAATGCATCTTTTCGAGATTTAACCATTAGCCTAAAAACAAGAACATGGACCACCTCTTTTTAAAAATGGCGTTTGGCATGATACTGTATGAAGACAGAGACATATAATACAATTCGGCGTTTTACGTTTCCGTATTTTGGCACTACGTTTCCGCATTAAAATTCTTGCGTTTCCGCATTTTTATAGTACTCTTTTCCGCATTGTTTTTACATTGATTTTATTAAAGGTTATTTACGTTTCCGCATTTAAATTTTTAATGTATCCCCCCCCCCCCCCCTTTTTTACTTACCAACTGGGTGGAAGTAGGACTTCGAGCAGGATTAGTCTTTATGACTAAAATGAAACTACAAATGTATCAACTTAAAATGATAAAAATCACACATGGTCATATATCAATTAAAAGTCAATGTTCAGCACTAAAAGTTTATATATATTTTAAGCGTCAGCATACTATTATACAGTACATGTAGCACAGTTTAAAGCGGTAAACTTGTAGCCAACTGACTTTATAAAGTCTAACCTCGTATTCTATTCTCTACCATACTTGACAAACTGTTCGGATACGAATTCAGCACGTTCGCGATCATTTTCACGAACTGATGCTATTGCTGATAAAGACCGAATGTTGATGTAAGTTGTTGTTTGGGTCTTCTGCAAAACGTCTATAAAAATAAATATAATTGTGTGACATGGATAGAACTGGGAGAAACGATTCCGGCCCAGTTGTGGTTCTTTTGGTATCTGTGTCGGGAGGAGATGACCATATTTGATAATAAAGTCTTATACCGATATATTATTATTACCATTTTTTACAGGAGAAATACAGGTAAAAATGCTGAAAAGTGGTATTTATTTATTTCGGAAAAGTAATGCACGAAAATGTGGAAACGAGAACTGGATTTTTGCTAAAATTGCGGAAACGTTATACACCCATACAATTACTATATGTCTCTGATGAAGATTATTCGTTCCAACTTTTATAAAGAAATAACCGACTATTTTCAACTAGATAAATAAACAACAAAAATGCCGTTTTTTTTTTTCTTCTAAAATTAAATTCTTTCTTTAACAAAACGGATTTTTGATAAGGATTGTTACACAAATGTAGAGCCCAATTTTGTAACGAAGATATTCCTTATCTCTTTACCGAAATCCGCATATGTTTATCTTTTGAAACACAATTTAAGGAGACAGAAATGTTTAAGAAACCGAAATTTTTAGTTAATGTCGAAAACTTCAAACCCGTTTATCTTTAAAATTCAACACTTGAAGATATAGATATAGTTTTTATTACATATTCAAGTTGATTTTGTAAAAATTAGCTTGTATGTGAACTTTCATAAAAAAACACTGTGTTATTGGTCGTTTGCCCATAATTGCCCTAAAGCTAAATGTCATCGTCAGATTGTGAGGGTCTGAATCGGGATTCATTATTTCTGTATTCTATCATTTTAGGCAATTTTTTCTATTCGTTATACCTTTTGCCGATCATTCTTTATTCCATGTATTCTAGAACCTCATCATTTTCTTTTCTATGTATTTGTCTGGTTATTTTCTGTTTTCTTTATTCTTTTGTCAATAATTTTCATCCACAACGTCATGTATAATGGAAGACGATAAACATTTTAGTATACATACCACCCGTTGTCAATTCTCCCCTGATATACAAACCACATGTAGTTATTTCTCACTTGGACACAGGACTTATATATATATATATCCAACTCGTCTAAACATCAACCCAACAATGTTAGATCTTTAAATTTGCTTTCGCAAATTTTTTGTTCTTCCCTCGCCG